TGGAAGGCACGGAGCGTGAGTCACCCTGCAGCCCTTATCTGTCAGCCCAAGGAGAAAAGAACTGTCCTAGCCTGATGGGCACCATAAAAGGCGAGGCAGGAGGAGGAAGAGGATGCACTGAAAGATACCCTTTTAAGAGAAACACAAATCCCGCAAGAGCTGCCTTAGAAATTATCCTGGTCTTCCACTTCCAAGACCGGGCAAAAGAAAAAGCCCTTGTGGTTGTGAGCATATTTGTAGAAATGTACAAAACCAAAGCAAGCCTTGTTACTTTCTAAAGCAGAACGGTTTGGACAAAATATTCACACTTCACTGAGGAAACAAAGTGATTGCATGAAAACCATGCAGTTTAAACATGCATGTTCCAATGAATATCTTACAGTGAAGAATCAGGACGAAAAGAAGCAGTGAAGTTTAAAACAACTCCCTTAAACACAAAACTGTAGGACAGCTTGGAACATTAACTTAAATTCTTGTTGGGTATTCAGCACATATGCGTACAAGGCCCGCCATCTGCTGACAAGGTTTGGTACTGATAATTTGGAAAGCACTCAGGAGGTGGTGGATTTTGGCAGAGGATAATTTACTCAATTTTGCAGCAAGTGCTCAACATTAAGTACTTATAACATTAGTCAGGTCTCAACGTATGCAACAACAAATATCATATCTTGGACCTCATAACTTTATATTTTCTGTTTTACAATATAAGAAGAATACCTACTTCTGGGCAGGAAGAAATTCTGGACTGGTAGGCCCTCCCAGTCACTATTCCCTTCCTCCTCTGTTACATAAACGGAATCATACAGTATGAATTCTTTATAGTCTGGCTTCTTTCACAAACATCATGTTTGTGGGAGTCATCCATCATGTTAAGCATAGGAGTTGTTTCATCATTTTCTTTGTATGAACAGTTCACAATTTATCTACTCTACTGCTGATGAACATTTGGATTGTTTCCAGTCCTTGGCTATATAACACGTAGCTTTGGACATTCTTGGCTGTGTCTTTTGGTGAACACATGTATGCATTTCTGTTGGGTGTATATTTGGGAGTGGTACTGCTGGGTCGTAGGGTATTCAAACATTTAAACTTAGTAATAATGCCAGTTTTCTAAAGTAGTTATACCAAATATATTCTAAACAACCACATATGAGAAAACATATGCGAGCACTATATACTTGCCAACTTGATGTTATTAGGCTTTTAAAAACTTTTAGCAATATTAGTGGAAATGTAGTAGTATCCTATGACATTAATTTTCATTTCCCTGGTGACTGATGAGAAGAATGTCATTTAATATGCTTTTTAGTTATGTGGGTATCCTTTTTTGTGAAAAGTCTCTTGCCAGGGAGTTCCCTGGCTGTCCAGTGGTTAGGACTTGACACTTTCACTGCCATGATTCAATCCCTAGCTGGGGAACTAAGATCCCGCAAGCCACAGGGCCCGGCCAAAAAAAAAAAAAAAAAAAAAAAGTCTCTTGTCCATTTTTCTATTCAGTTGTTTGTCTTTGTTTCATTGATATATAGGAGTTCTTTACAGATTCTAGATATGAGCCCTTTGTCAATTATATGTATTACAAATATCTTCTTCCTCTGTCTTCTTGTCTGTGGTATGAGACATATGGTGATTTAAGTACAAAACAATATAGCATCAAGCAGAAGGGAAGAGAGAATTAACATACTCAAAGTCGCTTACATTGTCCAGAAAGTGGTTAATTGGCTAATTGCATTAGAGTGTAATAGGTCAGGGATACAAGCAACAAATTCTATGGTAATCACTAGAAGAAAAATAAAATAATGTATAACTTACCAGTTAATAGATAGGGAAAGGGATGACAAAAATATTTGACTAAACTAAAGGAAGGCAAGAAAGGAGAAAGCAAGGAACATAAAACTGGTAGGACAAAAGGAAATTTAAAAACTCAAATATATCAGTAATTAAAACAAAAAAATATAAAGATTGAAAATTAAGAGATGGAAAAAGGTATTATAGGAAAATTGTTACCAAGAGAGCTAAAGTATCAATTTTAATATCAGGCAAAATAGATACAGACACAGGGGACAAAGAAGAACAATATATACTCACAAATAAAATAACAGATTAAGAAGACAGGCTGTTTAATTCTACTCCCACCCAACAGGATATATCAGAATATATAAAAAAATGACTGGCAGAATCATGGGAAGCTATAAATGGATCAATAATTATAGTTCGAAATTTAAGCACACTTACCTTAAAAGCTAATGTATCAAGTTGGCAAAAGGTAAGAATATATATAAATCTGAGTAACAGAATTAATAAAGTTACCCTAATACAGATTTATTCGGACCTTAAACACAACAGGTAAAGAATACAATTTCCTTTTGTAGCATACTTGGAACATTCACAAAAACTGACTATGGACTAGGTCACAAAGGAAGCTTCAGTAAATTTCAAAGAGTTGATACTATACAAATATGTTTCTGCCCACAATGCAGTAAAATTAAAAATCAGTAACATCAGAATATCTTGAAAAAACCCCATATATATGCAAACTAGAACACATATCATTTGAATAATATCTGGATTAAAGGGTAATTTATAAACTAAGTTATGTGAGTGATAGTGCTACATGTTAAAACATGTGGGATAGGTTAAAGCAAGACTCACATGGACATTTTGGAGAGTATTTTTGATATTTGGGTGGGAAAGGTTTTCTAAATAAACTCTCAAAGCATAAATCATAAGGTTAAAATTAATGGATTTGACTCTAGAAAAATTAAGTTCCATGCCATGAAGAACACCATAGACAAAATTAATAAATGAGCGATAGAGATAAGAAAATATTTGTAATATTGCTAATTTATAATATATAAGAAAATCTCAATTATCAATAAGAAAAGCACAGGAAACCCCAAAAGAAAAATGAGGAAGAATGCTAACAGGCTATTCACAGAAGGGGAATCCAATGGTTAAGCAGTATATGAAGAGGTACTCAAACTCACTAATAAGAGAAACATAAGTAGAATTGAAAAGTAATTAAATAGCACATATATGCATCAAGGTGGCAAAGGTTAGAAAGACCAACAATGCCAAACATTGTTGGGGATGTGAGAAAACAGGAACCCACGCGCCCCACAAGTGGGAATGCAGATGGGTGTAGCAATTGGCCAGTGTGTGGTGAACTTGAAGTATGAGCGTACCGTGACCATGCAATCCTACCCTTAGAGTATAAACTCAGAAAAGTCTCTCTGAGCCTCCTACGTGGAGCTGCACAAGGATATTCATGGCAGCACCATTGTGGGAGCTGGGAGCTGGGGATGAGCTGAATGCCCACTGCTAGGAGGACAGACAAGCACAGGATGGCAGATGCATTCTATGGAGAACAACAAAGCAGCCAGCAGCAACAACTAAAAACAGTGCTGAGTGGACAAAAGTGAGAAACAGAGTGAGACACATACTGCAAATTTATATAAACCTAAAACATATAAATACAGAAAACAATGCTATTATTCAGAGATACATATTTAAAGACATAAATCATCATTTAAAAAGGTTATCTATGATCTCTATGTGACAGAATGAGAGTAAGGATCAGAGATAGAAGGAAAAAATCAATTTAAAAAAGCATATCAGGGACTTACCTGGTGGCGCAGTGGTTAAGAATCCGCCTGCCAGTGCAGGGGACATGGGTTCGAGCCCTGGTCCAGGGAGATCCCACATACCGCGGGGCAAGTAAGCCTGTGCACCACAACTACTGAGCCTGCGCTCTAGAGCCTGCAAACCACAACCACTGAGCCCTCGTGCCACAACTACTGAAGCCCACGTGCCTAGAGCCCGTGCTCTGCAACAAGAGAAGCCACCTCAATGAGAAGCCCGCGCACCGCAACGAAGAGTAGCCCCCCACCCTTGCTGCAATTAGAGAAAGCCCGTGCGCAACAACGAAGACACAACTCAGCCAAAAATAAATAGATTAATTAATTTTAAAAAATGTTAAAAAAAAAAAGTGTACCAAAGGTTTGCATGGACTGATGAATTCTCTGCACTTCATATCCAAAAACACTCCCAAACAAACAAATTAACAAGAGTGGACTTATGATCACAAAAATATCTTTAAAAGCATGAGGCAAAGTTAGTCCTTCCCAGCTCCCATTCATATGGAAGCATTAGGTGTGCTCCTTCAGGGCCCTTTCCTTCTTAAAATGAGTCCATTGGGTCCCTGAGTTCTCTTGGGAATCAACCTATACATGTAGTCTGATTATTAATTTACACTGAATTCTTCCAGGCTTGGTTAAAGGCTGCCGCGTAGGTCTGCTGGGGATTCTCTGCCTCTTCTAGAATAGACCTTTCTCTGCCCTCTTCCTCCCACAAACACATCCTTCCAAAGAGTGGGTACATCCTCTGTCACCCCACTGCTCTGGGGAATTGGCTTTGGAGTTGGCCTTTGGAGAGGGATAAATGTTCTGACTACCTAAGGCCCCTTCTCCCTCAGGCTCCAACCATTATATCTCTTCCACCTGGGTTTATTTGGTGAGTGTGGGTTGGGGGTAGGGAGAACAAGGAACAATCTTCTCATTCTCATGGATTCAGATATCTCTAAGATCTTTCTCCTTTGAGGCCCTAGTCGTAAAATCAATGTACTGAAATATTTTAGACTAGAACAGTAGGGGAAAAAAGGAAGATGGGGGTGTGGGGAGGGGAGGGAAGGAAACAAGGGCAGGAGGCGAGGGGCAGGGAGAGCAGACAAGAAACAGAAAGTCAAGAGAATGACATCAGGACTCTAGGACCCAGGGGTGGGTATGAGAGCACTACACATTTAGTGAAGAGTGCCACTGACGTACATGCCTTGGTTGTGGCTGCTCTGATGTGACTGTCGTCCTCCTCTTTCAATTCTGGACAATGGCCATGGAGAAGCTACTGAAACAGCACCATGCAGAAGCTCTTCCTGCCTGAAGACAGAGTCTTATGGCAAAGAACCTCCAGGAATCACGTATACAAGAAGTCCTAAACTGAAAACTTACTGTGCAAATGACAATTTGATCTGCGTTTGAATTTCTGTCCATTCTTCCTTTGTAATCCTTCCACATTGCAGCAGCTCCTTTGAAAGTCTCTCTGCTTTTGTCAAATTCTCTGAAGCTTCCTTAAACCTGAGTTGTGTTCAGGAAACTTTACACTTGGTGCTACATTCTGGGGCCCTAGTTCCTGGACATCCTTGGCTCTCATACTTCCCATCACCCTTCCTGAGTCACCTGTCAGCTTTTGACTTGGCCTTAAAAATTAACTATAAGCATTATGAACGGTATTTCTATTTGTAAAGATTAGAGGCAAAAGGATACTTTTGAAGGGAGAGTAAGGCTCTCCCCATGGTATGGAATAACTCAACCGAACACTTGAAAACATCTGTATTGTCATTGTAGGGATGCACAATGGAGTTGGTGAGGATTTCTTTGGCTTTTTCCGCATGTTGTTTTGCTTGCAGTGACAGTCCTGTGGACAAAGAAAAAGAAGTCTCAGTTTCTTTTTCATTTCAGCTGGACAGGAATATAGTTATCTCTGGCCAGCGAATCTAATGAGGTCTCCTTCATATATCATCAAGTGGCAGATGGAGATATATTGGGACAGCATGAAATATGATCATGACTATAAGAAACAAAATTGTTTCCCACCCAGGACTCAAGATAAAAATTTTTTCCCACAATGGTCTTTTTAGAAATAATCAGAATGAGCAGGAATTGAACAGCTTTGAAACTTCACCAATATCAGACGTAAAATGTTATGAATAATTATAAAAAAAACAAACGGAATACAAAGACTACAGCATTCTGGGCAGGAAATAAAATATTCATGAATTTTAATCCTGGCTTTGTGACAGCAATCTTAATGAAATACTAAAAATTCTGAATCTTCTGCTCACCCATCCATAATCACAACTTTAGAGAGTTATTTTAACATAATACAAATATGACGATATCTATAAAAACTGACAAACAATTCCAATGAGGTAAGGGGCTGATGTGCTACAATCTTTTATTTCTATGTGGTAATAGACTGAGATGAATCAAATGAAGTTTAAAAACAGTTACTACCAAGAACTAATTCCCGGTGGGTTCCAGCATTCTTCCATTGGCGTATTCATCTGTGGTAAAGGTGACACTGAGGGTCACTATTTAGGTCTCAGGTTTTTTAATTTTCCCATATCCCCATCTTCTTCCCCACAATGACACACCCTTCCACCCACATCCTAATACTCCTGGTCTTACGTTCTTCATTACATGGAATTGTACCTCAAATCTCTAAAAAGAGCTGTCAAATTATGAAATTCATTCTGTTCCTATGTCTATAAAACAGAATATATTTTCTGAGGGAGAAAATCCAGGGTATGCTATTCCTATAGGAACACTTACAGAATTTTGTCTTTTTTTTTAAAAGTACACAATCAACCTACCAGAAATTTATTAGTGCCAATAATGTATGCAACATTATAAAAGACATGATGAATTCTGGTCCATTTCCTCAAGAAACTTGAACTCAATCTACAAGAGGCAGCATGGGTTGAGGTTCAAGAACACTAGCTCTGAAATCAGACTGCTCAGAGTGAATTCCCTGCTCCACCACTTACCTGAAATGTTGGCCCCAGCTTCCTCAACTGTAGACAGGGATAATAACATTACCCACCTCATAGCACTGTAGTGAAGATTGAAGGAAATTATACATGGAAAATAGCATGGTGCCTGGCACTCAATAAGACCTTAATAAATAGTAGATACTGCTTTTACTTTAAATTGAGAAAGAAAGACTATAATGCAGAAAGGTAGCAGACTGTGGAAGAAAAACATCGTTAAAAAAAAATCCCTGATGCTAGGACACTGGTACTGGCAACGAAAATCCTAGGTCTGAGTCTCAGATAAGCTATCTATTAACAGTGTGACCTGAGGAAAGCTGTTTCAACTCAAACTAGTTGTTACCTCTGAATCTAGAAAATAGGGGGTATAGGGGTATGGTTTGAACTAGATGATCTCCAACGTCCCCTCTGGCTCTAATAGGCTTTTTTTTTTTTTTTAATACTTATTTATTTATTTATATTTTTTGGCTGTGTTGGGTCTTCGTTTCTGTGCATGGGCTTTCTCTAGTTGCGGCGAGCAGGGGCCACTCTTCATCACGGTGCGAGGGCCTCTCACTGTCGCAGCCTCTTTTGTTGCGGAGCACAGGCTCCAGACGCGCAGGCTCAGTAGTTGTGGCACACGGGCCTAGTTGCTCCGCGGCATGTGGGATCCTCCCAGACCATGGCACGAACCCGTGTCCCCTGCATTGGCAGGCAGATTCTCAACCACTGCACCACCAGGGAAGCCCCTCTAATAGTCTTTGATCTAACAGGTAGGAGCAATCTATAATCAGATTTGGCTAAATTTATTGGGTGGCAATTGTGTGCTTAGCATTGTAGTGTTTTTCACTTCTGTTTGTTTATTTATTCACTGGGCCAATCCTGGGAAGTCAGTGCCATCATATCGTCATCATTATCAGCACTTTTCAACTGAAGAAACAGAGTACAGCGATGTACTCTTGTACCTCTTGTCCTAGGTTGCCAGTCCATGTTTTTGCCTTCTCTGCATCCACTCTCCCTTCCCCTGTTTTCTTTTGAGGATGCCCAGCCCCTAAACACTCAGTCCTTGTGATTTAGCCAACGCCAGCCTCTCCCCAAGGATCCAGTGGAGCCAAAAGGCAGGTCTAGCCAATAGACTCTTCCTTGTCTTTGGCATACAACCCACATCAGCCCGATAAGAATCCCCAAATCCTGAGATTTTGGAGGAGAGACACTCTTTTTTTCCTGGGAATGCTGAGGAGGGAAACCTAAAGCTGCTGGCAACCTTGCTGCCACCACATGGGCAAAGTTTGGCTAAGAATGGAGCCAATACAGAGAAAAACAGAGTCAAGTGGTGCGAAAAGGGAGGAACAGAAATCTGATCACACTGTTTGAAAACGTGGATCTGGCTAAGTCTACAGTAAGTTTTACCCCTGGATTTTTAAGTGTATGGGCCAATGAATTACCTTTTGTTTACTGCCAACTTGATTTAGCCTCTTATTTTTTTGGGGGGGTGGGTGTCACTTATAGGCAAGAGACTTTCCATCGATACATATGTGAATGGATCTTATTTCAGGCCCCAACTCTACACCCTGGGCCATTTCTACAATGCCTTCAAAGCTAACAAGTTAATTATCTCCCAAGAACTACTTTTAAGATCATAAAAAACAAAGCTCAGAGGGCTAAAATCTTCCTTCTCCTTTTTACATATTGTATTAAAAAATCTTATTGACTCTTTGTGAGAGGAAATAGCTCTCAATGTGTAGAGAGGAGAATGTCCAAGAAAACCTGATCCTTCTAAAGTTAAGTCAAATTTGAGGAAAAGAGCAGAAACCAACCAGCCAATCCTCCTCAGCCTGAGGCAGACTCACCTTTCAGCTGGAGGTAGCCCTGAGCCAGGTTAACATGCGCCTTGGCCAGTTTCCAGTGTGAGTCACCATAGCAGATCCTCGTCAGCGCCACACAGCGCACAAGCTCCTGGAGAGCCTGTTTATACTGGAGGAAGGGAAATGGGCTCACCAGTTAGACAGCAAAGCACAAAATCAACTTGTATTTTTATACATTCAATACACACTTATTGAGTGTTGATTATGGGCCGGGCATGGTTTTAAGGACTTGTGATACATTAGAGAACAAAACAAAGATCTGTCTTGGGTGGCAGGATATTCATCAGGTCGGGTGAAATAGACAATATACATAAAAAAACCAGTAAAATTTATAGTACATTTAAATTTATAGTAAACAGTGAAAAACGTTATGGAGTAAAGACGCTGCCCATCGACGAACAGCTACTACATATTCAGGCACAACAAGTGGGCGAATGGTGATAGTTTTCAAATAACGCCCATTAATTCTCAATTCAAACACCTTCTTTAGCAGCTGGGTTATTAGCACAGCAAATGAGGTCAGCAGGACTATACAAACAGATTTCATTAAGGGATTAAAGCACATTTTCATCTGGAGCCAGGACAAAGAGAATAGCGAACCATGGATTCTAGCTCCAGGTCAGCTTAGAGCAGCAATACACTCAAAGCAAGACTGGTAGTTTTAAAATACAGCTCCAAAATTCTTTGATACTCCTTCCATACAGAGATGGTGGTCTATGTCCCCTTTTCCTTGAATCTGGGTTTTATGACTGTTTGGCTAAAAGAACATGGAGGAAATGATGCAGTGCCACTTTTTAGACCCAGTTCTTAAAGAACTGGCAGCTTCCACTTTTTACTCACTCTTGGAACTTGTTATGGGCTGAATTGTGTCTCCCACCTCCAAATTCATATGTTGGAGTCCTAAGTACTTCAGAATATAACTGTATTTGAAGAGATGGCCTTTAAAGAGGTGAATAAGGTAAAATGAGGCTGTCAGGATGGGGCCCTAATCTAATATGACTGGTGTCCTTGTAAGAAGAGAAAGGGACACTAGGAATGGGCACACACAGAGAATCACATTGTGAAGACACAGTGGGAGTCAAGGAGAGAGCCCTCTGAGTAAAATCAACCCTGCCAACACCTTGACCTTAGACTTCTAGGCTCCAGAACTGTGAGAAAATAAACGTCCTTTGTTGAAGCCACCCAGTCTGAGGTATTTTGCCATAGCAACCCCAGAAGACTAACAACCTAACCACCATTCCATGAGGAAGCCTAAGCGGCCCCACGGAGAGGCCTACATGGAAATGTGTTGGTGGCAACATCAATCGGTCAACCACAGGACTACGCCACTCTGGCATCAGATTCTCCACACCTGTTGAGCCCAGCTGATGCTGCATGGAGCAGAGCTGACCAGATCTCACTGAGCTCTGCACAAATTGTGCATTCATGAGCAAAATAAATGGTTGTTTTTATTTTATGCCACTAAGTCTTAGAGTGTGATACAGTAATAGAGAGCTGGAGTAGCAAAAGAGGAGGTGGGAGGTACAAACCTGAAGGGGGCAAAGCAGAGGAAGAACCGTAAGAACAAGGACAGAGTTGTGGAAAAGATCCAGCAGAAGACCCAGTACACCCCCCACCCCTACTCCCCCGGTCAATGCCTAAGCTCAAAGGACCTGCACTTCCACAAAGTTCCCATGTGAGTTAGAAACACTTTCACCTTGAAACAACATTCCTCTTGACAAAAAATGCATACCCAGACAGTTGACCACAGGACAGTTGCTTCTCTGACCTAGCAAGAGAGGCTGGGGAACACTGTGCTCACTCCATAGTGATGAAGGAAGATGGAGGTGTGGCTTTTTCCTATAGTAACATTTTTCTTATTACAAAAGTAATACATGCTCATTATCAAAATACAGGTGAGCAAAAAAAAATAAAAAATCACCTGCCATCTCACCTCTTAGAGACAACTAGGCAGCTAAATTTCTCTCTATCCTTCATTCCTATGAATCTATCTATACATTTTTTTCCTTTTAAAAATAGGCTTATAAGCTACATATAGGTTTGCAACTTTTCACAATTTGTGAACATTTCTCCATGTCATCTTCTATGATAATTTTTCTTTTTTTTTTTTTTTTTTTTTGAATTTTTGAGTACGTGGGCTTCTCACTGCTGTGGCCTCTCCCGTTGCGGAGCACAGGTTCCGGACGCGCAGGCTCAGCGGCCATGGCTCACGGGCCCAGCCTCTCCGCGGCACGTGGGATCCTCCCGGACCGGGGCACGAACCCGCGTCCCCTGCATCAGCAGGCGGACTCTCAACCACTGCGCCACCGGGGAAGCCCGATAATAGTTTTTTATGGCTGCATAGTATTTTATTGTATGGATATATTATAAGTGAGTTACTCAACCAATAGCTATTGAGCACTTAGGTTGTTTTAAAATTTTTTCTCTCTGAACATCCTGTGTGGATAGATTTGCTCATATCCATAAGCATTTTCTTTTTCTTTTTTTTATAGATATAAATTTATTTATTTTATTATTTATTTTTGGCTGCATTGGGTCTTTGATGCTGCACACGAGCTTTCTGTAGTTGTAGGGGCTACTCTTCGTTGTGGTGCGCAAACTTCTCATTGCGGTGGCTTCTCTTGCTGTGGAGCACGGGCTCTAGGTGCGCGGGCTTCAGTAGTTGTGGCACGTGGGCTCAGTAGTTGTGGCTTGTGGGCTCTAGAGCACAGGCTCAGTAGTTGTGGCACATGGGCTTAGTTGCTCCGTGGCATGTGGGATCTTCCCGGACCTGGGCTCGAACCTGTGTCCCCCTGCATTGGTAGGAGGATTCTTAACCACTGCGCCACCAGGGAAGCCCCATAAGCATTTTCTTAGAATGAATTCCAACGTGACAATAGGGTAAAGGATGTGCAAAGTCCTGAGGCTTTGCTAGAGTTTGCTGGAGTGCTTCCTCGAGAGGCTGCTTCCATCCACACCTCCCTTACAGCACGGTGTGTGAGCAGGGAATACCCCTTACACAGAGCCAAGCACTAGTTGGGGTCTAACTTGCCAATTTGTCAGTTAACTCATTTCTCCTTGTTTTAGTTTGTACTTTTTTTTTCCGCAAAGCTAGTGAGGCTGAACATCTTCATGTGTTTATTGGCTTTTTGTAGTTCTTCTTTTGGGAAACATCTATTTATTGCCTCTAGAGACAGGAAATTTAGGGAATGTCTTCCTTGAAGACACACAGCAAATGAATACAGTGTATGAGAAAGAAAGAAGTGATGAAAACATTGAGAAGTCTAGATAGACAGTTTGCCAAAAAGAGAGGAGGATCTGGTCTGATGGCGAATCTGTCCCAACCACAAGTTTCCAAGGAAGGGCTATATGCAGTCTGAGAGTCAGCCTCCCAGATCAGAGCCTTGGTCCTCACTACCTGCATCGGGGACCAGTGCACAGAAAGAGCAGCCTGTCCTCCCTCTGCTTTCATATTTGCTAGGATGTGTAGTTCAGATACTGCCTTTTGATTTTCCAACGTTTATCCTGCCAGTTCCAGTGGCTTTAGCCAACAGGCATGGGTAGCAGGTAGACAGAAGAGAAGTATCAGTAGGAAGAAAATTTCAGAACTGGGATGAGCCTTGGAAATAATCTAGTCTGATCACCTCAATTTAAAGAAGAAATGTAAGGCCAGAGAGGTGAGATGATTTATCACTGAGTGGTAGAGTCAGAACTCACAGTCAAGCTCCTTGATGCAAAGTCCAGGTCTCTTCCAACAACATCATTCTTGAGTTACCTGAATTTCTTAAACTTCTTAATATTAAAATATGCAACTCTGAGGGTCAGTAAGTTCTGGCCATACATATTTTAAAATGGGTATTTAATACCCAGATCTTGGTGTCTAAATATCAATACTATTCTCTTCTAAGAGGAACCAGTGTTCCCTGAATCCACAGCTGGAGCAGGGAAATACAAGATGAACCTGAAAAATCTTATTGTGTCGGAAATTAAGGAAAGAATCATGGGAGCATATCAAGGACTCAGAAGCCAGCTTGAAGGGGCTCCCACTGGCAAATACAAAATAATTTAAGTTTTGATGATGATAATGGATTGTAAAATATTTGTAAAACAGGATTTCTTGAACCCATACTGATATAAATAAATGAACAATAAAGTATGAAGAAGGAAAAGTTCTTCCTCATAAAAAGAATGCCAACAAACAAATGTGGAAAGAATGCTGAAGTCAGAGAATCACCATTTGACAAACATTGTAGTAATAGCTAATTCAGGTGAGAATCATCAATGGATGCTATAAACTAGGGGGTGAAGTTTTAATGAGGAATAGGATATGTTCACAGTATCAATGAATCTCCCCACAAAATATTAATTACAAAGGGAAGAATAATAATTCTACAGTGAAAAAACCTGCCAGATAACTCCTTAACCAAGCGATCAAATTTAACCTCATAGTAATGAGACAAACGACATCGTACACCTCCTAATATGATGCACTGAGAAGGGCCCTGTGTCAGGTATGTGGGATTCCTGCCCCAAATGCATAATCTGAATCTAATCATAAGGAAACACATGACAAATTCAAATTGGGAGGTATTCTACAAAATAATTGGAGTGTATATTTGTGGCCCCTGCCAAATTCATATGTTGAAGCCCTAACTCTCACTGTAGTATTTGGAGATAGGCCTCTAAGGCTGTAATTAGGGTCAGATGAGGTTATAAAGGTGGGGCCCTGATCAATAGGATTAGTGTACTTACAAGAAGAGACACCTTTCTCTCCCCCTTCCCCCACATGCACAAAGAAGAGGCCATGTGAGGACACAGCTAGAAGGTGCTGGTCTGCAACCCAAAGGGAGAGCTCTCACCAGACGCCAGCCCTGCTGGCACCTTGATCTTGGACTTTCAGTCTCCAGAACTGCGAGGAGTACATTTCTGTTGTGTAGGCCACCCAGTCTGTAGTATTCTATTACAGCAGCCCAAACAGACTAATACAGTACTTTTCACAAATACTAAGATTGTGAAAGACAAAGACAGGCTAAGTAACTGCTCTAACTGTTGACTATAATCAACATGACTTCATGGATTGGACCATGGCTGATTTTTTTTCTATAAAAGATATTATCGAGATAATTAGAGAAATATGGATAATGTTTGTAGATTAGATAATAATATATATCAATATTAATTTCCTAATTTCAATCATTGTACTATGGTTATGTAGGAGAATATCCTTTATTCTTGGGAAATAGGCACTGACGTATTTAGGGGTAAAGGATCATACATTTGTAACTTACTCTCAGATATTCAGAAAAATAATGACAGAGAGAGTGAAAAATAAAGAAATAAAGTAAATGTTAACAACTGGTATATCTTGTAACTTTTCTGTAAGTCTGAAAGTATTTTAAAATAAAAAATTACCAAAGAATGGTATTTTAAGAAGCAAATTATGTCATATTAATACTTTCCTAAAAACATTAAGGCTTCCTAGAGCACTTAACTTAGACCTGCAAGGCAGGTAAGCTGCCTCTCCAACTACATTTCATGTCAGCCTGAAGCTTCCTATCATCACTTCCAACATAGTCACGCTCATGCCAAACTTATAAATTTTATGGCTGCTATTCCCTCTCCCTAGAACTCCTTTCCCTCAGCTCCTCCATGCTGGCTCCTTCTCTTCTTTAGGTGTCAGCTCAGATGTCACCTCCTCAATGAGGCCCTCCCTTACCTAAGATAGGCCCACTCTGTTTCCTCCATAGCACTTAGCACAATCTCTACTTCACTGGTTTATTTACAATGTCCCCTCAGCTCCATGAGAGCAGGCAAGCTGTTTGTCCTGTTCACCACTGAATCCAAGGATTCCTCATCTGAACAGCAGAACACAAAAAATGCTTTGATATCATTCTAGATGCATAGAAGAGAAGTTAATTCTTTATATACACCAAATGCAGATGGCCAACAAACACATGAAAAGATGCTCAACATAACTAATTATTAGAGAAATCTAAAGTACAATAAGGTATCACCTCTCACCAGTCAGGATGGCCATCATCAAAAAACCTACAAACAATAAATGCTGGAGAGGGTGCAGAGAAAAGGGAACCCTCATACACTCTTGGTGGGAATGTAAATTGATACAGCCACTATGGAAAACAGTACGCAGGTTTCTTAAAAAACTAAAAATAGAACTACCATACGACCCAACAATCCCAGTACTGGGCATATACCCAGAGAAAACCATAATTCAAAAAAACACATGCACCCCAATGTTCATAGCAGCACTATTTACAATAACCAGGACATGGAAGCAACCTAAATGTCTATCAACAACCTAAATGTCTATCTTCTTTATCCAGCAAATGGATAAAGAAGATGTGGCACATATATACAATGGAATATTACTCAGCCATAAAAAGGAATAAAATTGGGTCATTTGTAGATACATGGATGGACCTAGAGAGTGTCATACAGAGTGAAGTAAGTCAGAAAGAGAAAAGCAAATATCATATAATAACACATATATGTGGAATCTAGAAAAATGGTATAGATGATCTTATTTGCAAAGCAGAAAATAGAGACAGAAATGTAGAGAACAAATGTATGGATGCCAAGGGGGAAAGGGATGGGGTGGAAGGAATTGGGAGACTGGGATTGACACATATACAGTATTGATACTACGTACAAAATAGACAACTGATGGGAACATACTGTATAGCACAGGGAACTCTACCTAATGCACTGTGGTAACCTAAATGGGAGGGAAGTCCAAAAGGGAGGGGATATCTGTACATGTATGGCTGATTCATTTTGTTGTGCAGTGGAGGCTAACAAAACATTGCAAAGCAGCCATACTCCAATACAAATTAATAATTATATATATATATATATATATATATATATATATATATATATATATATATATACCAAATGCCTTAGGGCATTCATTAAGGCTTAGTTCTCTTGCAGATCTCTGGTTGAGAAAGGCTGCCAGCTGAGGCCGACATAGCACACAGTCTGGCACATAGCAGGTACTAAATAAATATCTGTTGCATAATGAATAAGCACACCTTCAAAACCGAATTCACACCTTCTCTCCATAATCCTGCTCTTCTTCCTGTATTCATTACAATAACAAAGGGCCTTGGGTCACCCAGGTTGGCTGAGCCCTAAGTCAGGAATTGCACACACCCCTCTCTGGCTCACTCTTGCCTCTCCAACCCCTATGTCCCCCACAGTTACCAGGTTTCATTGATTCATATTTCCAAATTCTTATCAAAAGATCTCAGCATTTTGCAACTAGAGATTATCATACTAAGTGAAGTAAGTCAGAAAGAGAAAGACAAATACCATATGATATCACTTATGTGTGGATTCTAAAATATGACACAAATGAACCTATCTATGAGACAGAAACAGAATCACAGACATAGAGAACAGACAGGTGGTTGCCAAGGGGAAGGGGATTGGGGGAGGGATGGACTGGGAGTTTGGGAATAACTGAATCACTTTGCTATATAGCAGAAATTAACACAACATTGTAAATCAACTATACTTCAAATAAAAAAAAAAAAAAGATCTCAGCATTTCTACTGACTCTGCCATATTTCAGGCCCTTGCCAGGATTATTGCAAATATCCTGCAAACTGGCCTTCCTCCTCCAGTTTACCTCCCTTCTCTTCCTCCATCACCCAGTTATCTGAGGTCTGAGGGATCATTCCAGACACTCAGACTTGCTCATGGCCCTCTTCTGCTTATAATCCTATGACAGTCTCCAGCACCCTGAGAAGAAAATCTAAACTCTTCCTGGGTGTTGAACACCTTCTGGTCCCAGCTCCTGTCCAAAATCCAACCTCATTTGCTGCCCTGTGTAACTAAAGCCTCCATCCCAGATAGTTCCATATAGTTCCCCAAACAGCCTGTGCACCCTCAGACCCAAAACTCTTGCCCATCTGCCACCTCTGCCCAGAACACTATTGTCCTCTCTCCTACCTGGGGCCAACTCCTAAGTACTGTTATCAGTGGAGTCCAAATAACTCCCATCCCAAGAAGCATGCCTTAAGTGCTGTCCCTCCTCCAACTCCAGGGTCATTGCCCATCCCTCCTCCCCTCACTCCCCATGCTTTGCATCTATACCACCTAAGCTTGTGTTTGTCACAGAACTTATGCTGATTACCATTATCCATCTATCTCCCCAACCAGACCATGACTCCCTCTGAGGCAGAGGCTGTAGCCTTCCCATCTGTGCCCCCAGCACTTGCACAGCATGTGGCACACATTAGGTATACAGTAAATTTTTGTGAATAAATGGACAAATAGGGTCTGACACATAAGAGGTGATGAGAAATACATAATGAATGATTGAGTAAATGAATAAAACTTTGAAGAGAGATGGGAAAGAAGTATGCAGAGAACAAGATTAGGAACCTAAGAAATACAAGCTCCATGAGAGCAGAAACTTCATCTGCTTTGTCCTGTATTCCAGTGCCTAGAACTGGCACACAGGAGGAGTTCAATAAATATTTACTGATTGATGGAAAATGACTGTAGTAGGTCAAATCACAACCAGTCAGTCTAGTGTACACTTGTCAGAGGTCAGGGAAAACTTTTTTGTTCATTTGTGCACTCATTCAGCAAACATAATGTTGACTGTGCCAAGTGCTGGGCTTGGAGTCCTGAGGTACTACACCCACTCACACTATGAAAAAGGCATTGTCATATTTTCTCTCGTACCAAACTCCTGAGAGTAGGAATGCAACCTAAAGTATCCTACTTCTCAATTACCAGAGTACAGGTATAAAAAGAAAGGCTCCTTACCTCATGACTGCTAGAATAGGACTTTGCTTTCTCTTCACAGAGGTGGAGTTTCTCTCTAGGAGGCTGAAAGAGTGCTGTCTGAGGCAGCTTGTTTTGGAGCATTTTTCTAGGTGTTATGCTGACGGCAGCAACAATTTCATCCAGGTGGTTGGATATGTGAGTTTCCTGTGATTCTTGCATATTTTTATATACATTATCCTCTAATTTTTAAATAAGGAAACGAAGGTGTTAATGATAATTTCCATAGTTACTTTTAGAAATACACTTTTTTTTTTCTAGAAATTGAGACTAGAATCTAAGAAAATTTCAACACTATACTCATGAATTCTTTGAAATAAGTAGCATTCTATCCAAAAAGATCCTAGTGGCTAGTACTAACTTCTTTCAGACTGATTTCAAGTTTTTACTAGACCAAACATTCTTTGTTCTCGCTCTATATTATATGTATATATATGTATGTGTATATGTGTATGCACACATACTGATATATTTTATATATTATATATGATATATGTATCTATATATTATATATGGTACATATGTATATATATCAGTAGGAATCAGCTGAGCCCAAACAGTTCTCAAGGAGCTCAGATTAGATCTGTTGAATCCCAAGTGACCTTGAAAACAGGAAAAAATTACATGTTAAACTTTCACTTCCAGCCAAGATGGAGTAATAGGGATGAGATTTATCCTCTTGCCCGAAGTCACCGACCAATTAACAAACAACAACAACAAAAAACAACCCATAGGCAAAAAAGGTGTGAAACAATGGTTTTCAAGAGACAGGACAACAGACTTGAGAAATAGAAAAAAGAAACAAAGTGAGACCCATGATTGCCCCAGGTTCTTACTTTGAGAAAGTTTCTAGAACATGCAGGGTAACCCAGAATTACCCTGTGGACTATCTGAGTTGAGGAAATAAGAGTAGAGCATCTGGGGAGACCAAGGTGGCTGGAGTTCACAGGACAGATTACTAGAGAGGATAGAGCTGCACAGAGAGGACCCCAGAGATTAGCACCCCTCAAGTATGGGGAGAGAATACTGACCAGCATGTGTGTAAGAAAACTACTTGGGTCTGGAGAAAGACTCCTCTAATAAGATTGAAAGGAAGTGTCTGGTGCTCACCAAGGCTGGTGCCTGTTCCCACTGACCAGACTGGAAAAACTCATAATTCGTGAGGTACACGGTAAAATATTCAGAAGGGTCTTGTCTCAGTAATGGGGATTAGCCCTAGAGTGAACCATGCTTAGATCCACTTAACAAACCATGAAAGTAAGACCTAAAAGGATAAAACTGTTTCCAAGTAACTTAACTGTATCAGAGGGCAAAACTCAAGGCTGTTCATAGGAATGCAAAAATAGCCAGCATTAGACAAGGTAAAATTCATATAATCTGACGTCCAAAGAAAGATCACCAGGCATGCAAATAGGCAAGAAAACATGGCCCATAATGAGAAGAATAATCTGTCAAAACTGACCCAGAACTGACCCAGATATTAAGTTAGCAGAGAAGAATATTAAAGGTTATTATAATTGTATTCCATATGTTTAAAAAGTTAACTAGAGACACAGAATATAAAAAGACCCAAAATGAACTTTTAGGTAAGAAAATTATACGTGAGATGAAAAATACACTAGATCAGATTAATGGGAGATTAGATATTACTGATGAAAAGATGCATGAACTTGCAGACACAGCAATAGAAACCATCTTTAAAAAATCAGTGAGCTGTGAAA